TATTTTCCCGTTTTTCCGTTGTACACTCTAGGTATTATTAGCTCTTGAAATTATATATATATATATATATATATGCATATATTATATATATATATATTATTCTCATTAACATTTCAAACGGTGTGAAAAATATTTTTTTATTAATATTTTACAAATAAGTTGAATTGCCATGTCTGAAGCCATTTGACTGCACTGTAATGTGATGTGCCACATGGCAGCTATCATTGCAAGCTTAACAGAATCGATAGTTCCTAAATTGTCTATTATATCAGAGATGAGAATCTCCCGCGGATCCGCGGTTTCCCGCGTTTTTCACTTTTGAAAATGATCAATTTTCCAAATCGTTCAAATTTGTTAAGAAAACTGTAGGGGGGTGTACTGTCACCCTCGGACAGTGGAAAAATGTCCTGCAGCTAGTGATGCTCTTTTACCGTCTGAGCTCGCCATCCCGCGGCCGACAAATGTACTATTCATTCGCGCACTGCACAGCAATGCGCGTGCAATGGTGGCGTTCATGAACAAGCTAGTTTTCGAAATTTCTGTGCCTCAGAACGCGTCTGCAAGCATCTAATTAAAAAAAAAATTACGGTTCCCCAGACCCCCGGATAGTGCTTAGCACCTGCGGTGCGCAATATAGCACTTTGCGCTATTCTACCAGTAAGTAGAAATATACCCCGCGGATTTTGTCCGGGGCCGTTCTCATCTCTGTTATATATTAGGCACAGGTACTTCTATAGTGAGTGTGTAACTTTGTTTGTTGTTGTTCGCTGCAGGTGAAGACATGGATTACCCTTCCATGTTCATGCAGCAATTCTATGAGGTGAAGCCATGCATCTCTTTGTTTGGTGATGACGACGTGGAGAGATTTGTGAACACTGTCGGCAGCAGTGCTCCTCCCAAGCGTGTCATGTTCCATAGGTAGGCTCCGTTCCTCTGTGACTTTATATTATCGGCGACTTATGGCCTCAGCTCAGGGAGAGATAAGAAGAAAGGTGGTGAATAAAAAGAGAGAGAGGAGCTATATAATGACAAACCCAGACAACCTCCCACGAAAAAGGTCACTCTTGTAAAACAACAGGCTAGATATCATGTTCATCGTGTGAATGCTGACAGTGGACATTTATGATTTTATTCGTAGGGAGTTTAGCGTGAAGGACGAACATCTATCAGCTGTCTTCACCAGATGTCCTGACCTGCAAGTTCTGGAGTTGGGAGACTCAGACTCTGGTGAGTGATGTACTTGTACCGAACCAGACCTTGCCATAAAAAATCACTGTTATACAGTCAGGGCTCGAAGTTTACAACGACGCTGGCAGTAAGTACCGTGTCTTCCCTACCTGAACCCCAACTTGCTGCAGTGCACTAACATAAGATTTTTGATAAAACCCAATGCAACAGTTTCCTTGTTCTAAAAATTGTAAATTTCACCTATGTAGATTGTATTAAATGAGTGTTTGTGCAGATTCCAAATTGCATATGACATGGTTGCTAAACTTCCAGGCTGTGGTAGCTGCATCACTGATGATGTCATCATTGAGTTGGTCGCTGCATGCCCCAAGCTGAGAAACATTAGACTCAGTTCCTGTGTCAAGCTAACGGACAAGTCCTTCAAACGAATCATTGAGACATGTGTTGACCTTAGAGCTCTTGAGGTGAGTAAATTTCGCAGCAGTGTACTTAACATGGGGTTTACTCATATAAATATAAAACAGATGTAGGTGGCTGCCTCGTTGATGTAGTCACATGAAATTAACTTAATAGTCTAGGCTCTGGGGGGGTGTTCGTGTACATGACTCTTTTAGAGCAAAACCTTATATTTTCTCATTCCGTATGGTAAGACTCTCAAAAAAAGTTTGGGTAACACTTCTGGGTCAAGTACGTTTTTTCTGTACAGCTAATTATGTGATTTTCGGTTAGGCGCCAAAGTGAAAAAATTACAATATTGAAGTTTCAGAGCATAAATATTTATTAAGCAACCATAAACTTTCAAATT